TGCTTCGTAAAAAAAAAAATATTTTTGGGGACCCATCCGGGCATAGTATTTTTATTCCGAATTGAAGCACAGAAAAAACATCGGCATACATCAAACAATTATAGCCCACCCCAATAATTCAACTTATAGACGCGAGCCGACATAAATTATTATTTTGGGCTACTGTTGCGATATTTCCTCGCTACTTATATGTTGTACAGGGTGTTTGGTACATCGATAGGAAGTTTTCAATGTGTGACAGTTAGGGTCATTTGGAAGCTGTTTGACCATATTTACCCTTATGCAAAGTTTCGTCGTTTTCGAAATATCAGCATGTTTAGATATTCTTGGGAAATATTTGAATTGTTCCTAAAACTGTAACATTGCAAATGTAACTTGTTCTTTTTTCTTTCAAATATAATTTTATATTACCTTCAATGTTGACAGTCTGGTGACTAGCATAAAAAAGTTTCTGCTGCTAATAATATTAGCAATTATTAAACTATAAGAAGGCACGATTTTCGTTTAAGTTTGAAGTACCAGTTTAGTACCAACACTTTCCATTGGCAACTTTTTGACAGGAAACTCTGCTTTAGAGATTGTCCATTTGTTCATCCCTTTTAAATTTTGCCGTTCGAGCTGAAAGGTCGATCTTGCCTTGCAGGCAGCCATCTTCCTCAAGTTTGAATACCGTTCTCGTGGAAAAAAGTACCTTATCGGCCATCAGGCACTATCTTAACGAAATAAAGTTGCGTAAGGCAATAATCCATCAATTACCGCAAAATTTATTATCGAAAGTCTTGTGATTACCTTATCATTTGGGTTTGAATTTTGAACCCCCTCGTGGTAAGTCCTTTTTAATTTTTTTAAGTAATGGTTGTTCATGTAATGCCTCTATTACTTAGGGTTTTCCGAGGAGCTGTTTTTCCCAGGCGCTGTTTTTCCGAATAGCTGTTTTCCCGAGGAGCCGTTTCTCTCAACGAATCCATTTCCAAAAGGCCACATTTTTAAAAGAACACCAATTTCGTGAAGCGTGGCATAGAGCTTTTGAAGGGATTCGTAGAGGAATCAAGTTCCTCCCGAGTCGATACGTGTACCCCCACTTTTGAAGATGAAAACTGAACTTCTAGCCTTGATTCCAGGCTAGAATCTGCAACTTCCATCTGCAACTTCCCTCGTCAAGTGGCCGGGAATGGATGGCTACCGTGCTCTACCTTTTTGTTGGAATGGAGACTTGTATAGAGTTTCATTTATAACTTTTATTTTTTTTTTAATGAAATTTATGATCAATTAATAAAATTAATTGATTTTTTTTTTCTGATATGACATTTAAATATTTGAAATTTCAATTTCGTATTCTTGACACCTAAGTAAACTTTAAATAATTATTTCCGGTTTTTGATTTACCCTATTTACTATAGATTTTTTCTCTACCTAACTTTTAGTACCGCCATATTTTAAAGAATGTACTTATATTTTATCAATGATAATCAATCAGTAATCTGAACAGAAGTCAAGGTTGGACAACCTGCTCTAAATTTAAAATTACTGAGTAAGTACCTATATCGTCGAAAATTGATCAATTTATAACCTGGGTCCTAAGTATAACTTAGGTACATATTTGAAGGTTTCTATAATATCTCCTGACCATTTACCTAACTTTTGATTTCAGCAGAAGTTGACCATATTTATTAATACAATTTTCAGTCATTCATTTTTTTTTAAATCAGTTTTCTGGAATCTTGAATTTTTTATATTTTCATTTCATGATTACGATATGGCCTGCGACTGTTAATGAACTTATATGGCAACTATATTGAGGTACATTGTAATATTATTATTTTTGAATTTGATGAATCCTCAATCAGATTCAGTTAACCCCTTTTTATTGATTTGATTTCTGTTCTACCAACAATTGGTTTTATCTTTTAAAATTATTTAATTCTTGGTTTTTAAACTCATTGTGAAACATACACTAATCTAATTTGAAACTTACTTAATTTTTTTATTGGTTTACTATGTCAAGATTTGGTTGAGTTATATGCCTTATCTATTTCCTTTCCAGAATTATCAATTACCGCTTGCTGATTATTTTTTTTCAGGTGTGTTTCTTCAATATTTAATGTTATTTAATTTTTTTTTTTTTTAATTCAGTGGCGCCCTTGCAATTCTGTACTTATTAAACTATTGACCCACTGACCCAAACTGAGCATATTATGAGCCTTTTGTTATTTCATCAACAAAAGGAGTCACAAAATATATTCTTTTTTTTGGTAGTAAACACTTTGGCCTTTTTCAATTTTTTTTTCCGATATTCCTAACATGCACTCTTTAGAAACAATACGGAAAGAACAACCGAAAAATTGATAGGTACAAACATATGCAGCCCAAGTTATGTGTTAAAATACATGGATTCAAAAGGACGATATCTCAAAAAACAGCGTGAGGGTAAATATGGTCAAACAGCTTCCAAATGACCCCAACTATCACTCATTGAAATCTCCCCATCGATGTACCAAACACCCTGTTTAAACTTACAATAGATTTTCTATGAATTTAATTACTAAGTGAAGTTCGTTTTCTATCGGTATCCAACGAAGGAGGTGATTCGTCGGCTAGGACAAGAAAAGTAAAAGGACTGTCATTGCCAACGTTTCGCCCATCAGGGCTGAAATATATAGTAGAAACATCATTAAAAAGTGCTAACAAAAAAAAAATTAAAGTATAGGTACATACCTTGTACTTAAAAAATTATGTAGCCAAAATTATATAAAACACTTCGAAATTTTTGAAATCGAACATCAAATTGCAAATCACAATACATTGATATAAATGGTAAAAGGACAAAAAAATACAAAAATAGAAAATTAGGACAAAGTGATCACAGAGATATAAGCAAAACCATGACAAATTAATTTTTATCAATCAACACAGTGACACTTGACCAGAAGATTTAAAAACTTGTTATTAATGAAAAATTAAACTATCAACTTTATAGAAAACAACAATTTATAAGTTTATCAGAATGCAATAATGGCGCTTAAATTGTTGGTATCATTTTTATAGTTAACTGCCTGGGTTTTAAAATTATCAATAAATAACATTTCCAGATTCACTGTCACAGATTGTATATGGGGGCGACTAAGTAAAAGCTCTCAAAAAGATTATATCAAGACCAATTTTCTGATTGTCGAATTATTAACATTGAAAAAGAAAAAAAACTGCATTGGTGACTCATCATTTTGGGAGTGACCATCATTTCGATTTCAACAATCCGTCAGTGTGTCAGAGAGGAAAACTGGAAAACACGAAAAATTCTGGAAATGTTAATCATTAAAAAATATAAAACCCAGGCAGTTAACACTGATACCAAGATTTCAAGCGCCATTTATTGCAATTTGATAAAATTATAAATTGTTGTTTTCTATATAGTTAATAGTTAAATTATAGCTAATATTAACAATTTTTCAAATCTTCTGGTTAGGTATCACTGTGTTGACTGACAATAATTAATTTGTCATTGTTTTGCTTATATCTCTGTAATCACTTTGTCCTAATTTTCTATTTTTTTCTATTTTTTTCTATTTTCTTATATTTTTGTGTTTTTTTTTTTTTTTCTTTCACCATTTATATCAATGTATTGTGATTTTGATAAGTGCAATTTGATGTTCCATCTCAAAAATCTCGTTATGTTTTAAATAATTTTGGCCACATAATTTTTCAAGTACAAGGTATGTAAGCTTCAATTCTTTTTATGTTAGCACTTTTTTATGATGTTCCTAATATATATTTTAGCCCTGATAAAGCCTCAAATTTTTGGGCGAAACGTTGGCAAAGACTTAACAGGCCTTTTATTTCTCTTGTCCTAACGTCGAATCACCCCCTTCATAATATATGAATTTAATAGAAGAGAGCGACGTGATGTTGAAATATCCTCGTATAATGCAGAGTTTCAAATCAGAATAAAAATACTATACGAACGTTGTAGTGTTTGTGCAAGATAAGGATGGGATAGTATCAGGAACTAGGAAACGGTGTAAAATACATGGTTATGGGGAATAGGTACAAAAATGCTGATGCCATTGGATACAGCGCAAAAATTGGACAAACTGATAAAGTTCACTCCTTTATTAGAACTTACCGATCTGAATTGGGAACTTCAACCTCTTCCTTATCAACGGTGCAAACATAGTGCAAGGCACTTTCGTCATTTTCCGTTAATTCATTAACATAAGCTGAGGCAGCAGCTTCTCCCTTCTTGTCTTTCACGTAGTTTATTAAATTCGTGACAACATCTGGCCTGCAGTTCCTACTAGCTAGATGAAGAGGAGTTTCACCTTTCTGTGGAAAATAGGTAATTTTTTGAGAATTTATTTTCTATTCAATTTTTAGAACAGACAAAAGTTTACAGAAGTGCAATATATTATTTCAAATGTCCAAATGAAGTGAAAGCTAAATAAGCCCTATAAAATGCCTACAAGCAATAAGAAAACATAATAATTATAAATGAGGTGATATTAAAAATCAAATGCATCTATGTAGCAGAAGCCTAAGCAATGATAAAATATTAGTATTAGGAAAAGGCCAGAAAAGATTAGTGATCTATTAAAACGATGATGAAAAATCGTTCCAAGATAAAAATAGAAATTGTGAAAAGCCAAATGTAAAGCTTTGTTATAGAAAAACTTTATGGAAAAATACTTTAACTTACTTTATAGTACGCAGATGATATCTAAAAATAAATACTTCTGTTATAACTATCCTAAGATGCGTCAAAGATTTGTAATATTTTGTCCCTTCTGAAATGTTTCTACGTGTTTGTTTTAAGCTAATGTGGTGAGCTGCGATTCTAACTTATATTTTAGCTTACTACTACTTCCTAAAAATATTCAATTTCCTATTGAATAGGTACATTTTAGCTTATATCAATAATAATTTTGCAATAAAACATTACGTCGGCAAAAGTAGTCAATTGGTATCCCCTATACATACAATATCTAAACTTTCTGGTAGGTATACCGAGACGAATATGAAAAAGGAATAGATCTCCTAATATAAGGTCTGTTTCTGCAGAAATCACAAACCAGTCGGAGTGAATTTCATTGGTTGAAAATAGTTTTCTGACTGTTTTCAACCAATGAAATTCGCTCAGACTGGTTTGTGATTTCTGCAGAAACAGACTTATAATAAATGCTCTAGACTCTAGATAAGGCGGACATTGATGACATTTACAAAAACGTGAATGATTCGTTAGGGATATTTCACGGAGACAATCACGAATAACGGAAACGACCAAGGGTCGTATATAAGGGGGGGTTTTGGGGGTTCGAACCCCCCCCCCCATTGAACTGAATAAATTATTTTTTCGAAGAAAAATAAACGTCTTGGGCGTTGCACCCGAAAAAAAATTTCGCCTTTGACGATATCCTGGGCAACTTCCAGCATAGACCACGAGCCGCCACTGCTCTAAACCCCCCCCCCCCCCCCCCCCCAACAACGAAAAAAGCACTTCAAGCAAAGCAGAGCTAAAGAACCCTGCAACGAAATTAGGAGTAGAGCGGGAAAAATATAGCAGAATACAACATAGGAACTGTGGAAAATAAGGGAAAATATCATTGAACAAAATTAGGGACTTGTGGCCTTCAGGAAAAAATTAAAAGAACAGAAAACTGAATGTAGGTATGTATATTTTCTGATGAAAATGGTAGGTACCCCCAACCGACCAAAAACAAGACCCTACACCGAGAACTTTTATAAGCAACTCTATTCTCCACAGGCACCACAATTTCACAGATTATTGTACCCCGAGATAGAAGAGCTAAACTTACTGAACATTACACAGAACTGATATGAAGAAAAAAAAAACAACGAAGCTCCCGGTTCAGATTAGCTTGGTATAAAATCGATTCAATGGGAAGGGAAAATTGACATATTCGGGTAAGTAGATAATCAAGACCTCAAGAACTATAGGCCTATATTACTTCTATCATACCTATACTAGGTATACTACTTAATTATCAGCAACAGAATACTCGCAGAGTTTTCGTCAATATTTTCTAACCACCAGATCAAGCTACTCGCAGATATGAATTAAGCACCGCAGCTTCACTGATCATCGATATAACCAGCCATCTTATTTGGTCTTCGAGAAGTTCCTCGCGGTAATTAATTCCGGAAAATAATGCAGGATTGACCACCTACGCTGATCAGAGCAATTTGCAGATGGCTAATGGGTATAATAGAGGACATCACGAACCTGGTTAATTATATGCGAGAGGCTGTTAGTTGGTGCTATGGACATAAACATGAACCAGAACGCAAGAATAATACAAAACGGAGGAGACGTGGTCACATTTGAATTTAGAAAGCATACAGAAAAGTGGAAGAATATATTATTCTAAGATGACTACCGAGCGAAAGCGACTGAGAAAAGTATCCAGCTGGGTTGGGCTGCATTTGGAACTTTTCAGGTCCAGTCTTTCCCAACATCTAGAAAAACTTCTACCGTTGTGTACTTTCGACACTCGCCTTTGAATAAAGAGGATGGTCACTTATCAAAACCATAATCAAACTGCAATGCTGGGAATAGTTCTTTGAGACATGAGGCAAATTGCGCCTATCAGAAACAAGGCAAGCGTCAGCGACGTTACGGAAGGACTTAAGAGGCTCAAGTGGCAAAGCTGTTAAATGGCTGGTAATAACTGAAATGCTTTCTCTGCGAGGTACACTGAGGAATAAATTTGTAACATCGAAATAATAATTTCGCTTACAGAAGAATTTTTTCCAATCATGGATTTTGATGTCAATTTTCACCAAGTATCGGCTCAATCAATTTAATTAATTTAGATGCTGAAATACACGAATACCCTGACTAGTTAGATTATTATGCTATCTACTGATTGATAAATCAGTATTCAGAAGACAGAGACGCACAACTTATTTCTTCAGTGTTGCAATCGATTGCCAAATCAAAAGAACTGGAATGATCAAAATTGGTCCATACGGTTTCCCCGCAGTATGTTGAAACTAGACATGGACTTATAAAAAATAATGACATCTCTGCCAAAATACTCTAATGAAAGTTTGGTAAGATTCTCTTATGAGATGATTGACGGTGTCAAATATTCATTGTGGTGCAGACATTTATCAGTAGGTAATTAAATGTCGTCCAGATTACAAAAAGCTCAAAATTTAAAGTTAATAATACTACCTTTAAAAGTATTTCAGTGAGCAATGCGAATATAAGCTAATAATCTTATGAATATTTATTTGTTATCTGTATTCTCGTATTCTAACAGGTCAAAATGCTAGTAGTGGTTGTTGAAGGTTTTGCAACTTTACTGCAAGAACTATACTTCCTATGTTTAGTTATACCTGTAGAGGTAAATATTCACCTTGTTTTTATATTGTGGGTCCCCACCATCTTCTAGCAATAGCAACATGGTCTGTAAGTTACCATACTTTGCAGCTACATGAACGGGTGTATTGCCATCATGTGTTGCGATGTTAGGACCAGCGCCTGACTTCAGGAGCATCAAGGCGCATTTTTCTCCATCTCTCACTCTGGCGGCAATGTGAAGTGCTGTTTCTTTGAGTTTCCCACCTGAAAATACAATTTTTTGGCACAAAACAATACCACGATCATAAAAGTTGTATTCGTAGGTGCCTATTAATGAATTAACATTGCTCAATGACCCCTATAAGATCTTGTTCCTGATTGTTGACGGAGTAATTTTATGAATGACTTGTGGTGTCTATCGTATCAACCATGCGTGTTTGTTAGAAAAACTTTCCTGTATTGGAATTACAACAAGTGCACTGAAGCATACCTTGCCTGTGAGGAATACACTGGTGCAGTGTGGATGATGAATCTTTGATTCTTTCGAAGAGACACTCATGACATGTCAAAATCGTTTATTCCAATAAAATGGTAATTTTTTGGTAACATGAATGCGGTTGAAGAGCTTTCAACGGAATTATATGTTTTTTGGGGTGCTGAATACGAATCTGAAGTTTGCTGCCTCGTAGCAGAACCGACCCAGGACGAAAATCGCGAAAACCTCGACATTTTCGGACTTTTTCCGGTTTTCTGGTCTTATCTTGCAAATGACGCATCGTACGGAAAATGTCATGGTATTTAAAGTTGAAAAGCATAAAATTCGTCGAATGACTTACCTAACCTTGTTACTGTTGAATTTATGAGCCCGCCATCTTCAGTCGGAAAAAGCCCATTTTAATGAAATTTTGTGAAAACTGCAATTAACCCTCTTTTAGACGAGAGTGATTTCAAAACAACCAGTCTAAGTAAAAAATCTTTGAAGATGTACTTAACCAAATATTGAGTTCATTGAGCACAAAAATTTCAAATTTGGATCAATATATACGCATATACTGATCATTTCTTCATTTTCCCTCTCAACGCTTATTTGACAAAATGAAGCGGTTCAATAATAACAAGTCTGTACCTGTCAATATAAAACCCCCTACTTCTCAAACCCCACTTCCCAACCCTAAATTACTTCTTCCTCCATTTTTTGTAAGTCTGCGACTTGGGGATTTATAAGTATTATCTATGTAGATGTAATAGGAAGTAATCAAATCAAATCAATCAAATTAAAAAGTAATTTATTTTCCAAAAAAAACTTTTCATTGACAAAGCATATTGTCAACCATAGGACCATGGGCTACAGTCAAATTAGATACACCAGCCCACGGGCTACAACAAATAGCTGACCTAATTATAGTCAGCAAAAATGGGATATGAAAGTCACTAGCCACACTATGGCAAATCAGTCGTGTCTCAGCGCTTCGCTGCAATCAGTAGGTGTTTAGAGACGACTCAAAGTTGGGGAGCTATCTGGACTGATAAAGTTAATACGTTATCGTATCTCTATCAGGGCAGATATTCTCTGACGACCCAGGCTTTGACCTACAGTGAAAAGGCTTTCTAGATTTTCCTGTAGTGCTGGTTTGGTTGTTTAGCATTGCAGGGGTATACCCGACGTGTTGACTGTCCGCCCTTTTGAGCCTTACCACCCGAAGGGACGTTATCTGGTCCAAGATGATAATGACTTGGTAACAATTAAATATTCATGCTTTCGTAATCTCCGTCCTGTAAAATCACAATATATATTAGCTATCTAAAACTGTTCTGGTGTTTCCCTCCCTTCCCGTTCTGGTTTTCAGGGTGAATAGTCGAGCTACATAGCGAAGTTGAGACGCTTCGTGACATTTGGTGGAGGCGCCCTCTTTCCTGGACCACCTTGGTGACCTAGCCAAAGAGTCGATACCAGGACCACCCGGGAAGACAGAAGGCCAAGAAGGCCTCTAGCAGGAACAGAAGAGGAGGAAAAACCCCAATAACCTTCCTTTCACCCTATCCTAGAACACCAGAAATAAATAAAACAAAAAAATACTTAGCCATAATCTTTAATAAAAAATTAATTACAATCAAAATTAAACATTCCTTGCGAAATTTAAAATAGCAAGACGATAAAACAGAAAACACCGATATGCGTAGCAAGCATTAAACTGGGGACCCACTTGGAAAAATACAGTGTTTCCAAATCGACAGAAAACGACGCAGATTGTCTATTTCTGTAAAGTTCGCCATCAAGTCAGGAAAATATCGAACTGATGAGAAAAGGAAATTACTTCTTGAGGTCCACGTCAAGCGAAGCCGAACATAGTCCAAACGCCGAAAGCACTCAGATTGCGGACGAAATATTTCAGCGAAGAGAGAAGCCAAGATTGGAATTCTCAGAAATTTTAGGAACGGGAATAAGTAACTACTTGAAACATCAAAGTGAAAAAGCCTCGGAAAAAGAGAATCTAGAAGAAACTGTGATAGTAGCAAAGCAGGACAAAGCAACACCAAACCGGAAAACACAAACAGCTATGGCGAATACCACAATCCAAGACGCAATCGCCACTGGTAGAAAGGCGACGATTCCTCAATTTATAAGCCTTACAACTTTCCACCCTTGCAGGGGCAGTGCGGCCGAATTTCTAAGGAGCTACGAGAGATCAGCAATAGCAAACGGATGGGATGACACATTAAAAATAACGTACTTAGAAACATTTTTAGATGGCGCTGCTAACATATGGTTCCAAGAATACAAACAAAACAATCAAGATAGCAAATGGAATGACATTGTAAGGGATTTTTCTAAAGAGTTTGAAGACGCCAACTACCAGACGGCACTAAAAAGGAAAGTGGAAGAACGCAAACAAGACTCGAAAGAAACAGTCCGTGACTATCTGTACGAATTAAGGGTTCTCTACCACGACTACAAGAATGCCATCGATATAGAGGAATTTGTAACCATTTTCAGCAAAGGGTTGACTGAAGAAAACTTCTACCACTATTACTGGCTCACAAATCCGCCGAATGGCCCACCAGACACACTCGAAAAATTAAAAGAAATTGCTGGGACCATAGATAAAGCGCCAAGGAAGGAGTTAGGAGGGAAAAAGGACCCACAGAGTCAAAGAGACGAAACGCCAAGAGCAGGCAACCAAGCACCCCAAAATGACAGGAATCAGGTAGTGTGTTATTATTGCGGAAAAAAGGGACACATGGCGGCCGTATGCAGAAGCAGACAACATCAGGATCGGTCAAATAGAAACAACATGAAATGTGATAACTGCGGAAAGATCGGGCACGCTGCGGCAAGTTGCAGAAGTCAACCACAGAGAAATAGAAATTATAAGCCCCGAAATTATGGTAATAGCCCGATATGTTACAACTGTGGGAAACAGGGACATTTCGCAGCCACCTGCAGAAGCCAAAAACAGCACCCAAACGAAAGGGGATGGCAAAAATAGAGACCCCAGCCATCCTAGCCCTAGGGCATTCATCTAGAATAGAAATCTTATGCATCACAATTACAATAAATATTAGGAATTTCTCGGCTATAGTCGACACGGGAGCCCAAAATAACGTCATACCAACACAATTGATAACAGGAAAAATAGAAACGGACAATAACACGATATTAGTAGCCGCAGGAGGACATCGAATAACAGTATTGGGAAAAATGACAACTCCAATGGAAATTACAGGGAGCTCAAAGTGGAAAGGCGTACTAAGGGCAAAAGTCACCTCAGCAACAGACCAACCGATGATCTTGGGGATGGAATTTTTGACAGAGAATAAGGCCACCATAGACCTACAACGAAAACTACTGATATTGAATAATAAATACAACATACCACTATACCAGGGCTACAAGCAGAAAGTTAGCTTGTCAAGCCTTATAACCACAAGAGAGTCGAGCACTGGGCCAAGATACTCACAGGAAGATGAACAAGAATTCAACAAGTTTATCAAAGACCACATACACATAACAAAGAAAGACATAAGCAGATTCCTGAAAAAAAAAAAACATAGAGACATAAACCACCTACCAAATAACGCAGTTTTGGTATTCGGAGTAACCCAAAACTACAAAACAAAGAGATGCATTTACACAAAATACAGGCGCACGCTCCCAACAAAAAGAGTACAGGGATCCATCGGACAACTGAAAGAAATAAGCCACGGAAAAAAATCAACAATCTTCCTATTTACGAGGGAAACGATGAAAAAGAAACCTACGCCAAGGAACATGTACAGATGCCTGTTAGCACTAAAGAAAACTAGTAAATTGAGGTCCCATACAACCTTGGTTGTTCCAAGAAAAAGGATGGGGATTGGAAAAAGAATGGGGAAGATTTGAACAAATGCTGTATCATGTTTTCAAGGACTCAGGAATCGAGATTCGCATCCAAAACCAACAGGTAGCCAAACAACACAAGACAATAGAAAGTCCCGAAGAAGAAATTGGGCAGCTAATGCAAATAACCACCGACACTGACAATAAAACGCATAAAATAGGAACAAAGAAAGACCACACCATAACCGGAAACCAAATAGAAACAATCGAACTAGAGATCATGGGCAAAATTGATGAGATAAAAGAAACAATAGGGTACCAATGCAAATACAAATTAGACTGGCTGGCAAAAAAGCACCTAGTACTAAAAACACATATCTACACAGATGGAGACAGCCTAGCCCTGAAAATACAGTCAAAAACTAGGAATCCAGTGACTATATACGCAGGAACCACATTAGCATTTTTAGAAGAGCTGAAAAACGAAACCCCTTTGTACCACCTAAATACTCAACGAGAAATAATAGATAAACCCGAGGAAGTGACAATAGAAGACCACAAACTAGAGAACATTAGGGACGAACGAACTAAACAGGCATTACAGGATCTCCTGTTGGAATATAGTGACGTTTTCGCAAAATTAACTAAAGACATGGGAAGAACAAACCTGACGGCACATAAGATAGAAATTGGAGATGCACAGCGAATAAAGAGCCGTCCATACAGAGTCTCACAAAAAGAAAGACAGATTATCGATGAACAAATCAAGGAAATGCTGGACAGCCAAGTAATTAGACCCTGTCACTCGCCATGGGTCAGTCCTGTGGTCCTAGTAAAGAAAAAGGATGGAAAAACCAGATTTTGTGTAGACTACCGGAAAATAAATGCTGTGACAAAAAAGTCAACCTACCCACTACCACAAATTGACGACATCCTGTCATACCTA